GAAACTATCCTCCGACAAACAAGAACACCCTCATCCGTGCACTGACAGAGGAATGGGATAAATTGCCTCAACAGCTGCTGGATAATGTTGTGCAAAGTATGATGCGACGTGTAGAATGTTGCATCACACTCCACGGTGGACATATGCAGTACTGACACCTTTCTTCAAATTGCCTGCTGACATATAGATGCATTGTTCCATTTTTCCGTACGCAGCATCAAATGAATAATTTTTTTCTTTCAGATGTTTCATAGCTTTTGTACTTTCCAGAACAATAAATATTCTTTATTCTAATGTCTGAATAGCGTGGCAACTATATTTTATCCTACTAGGCCTCATGTCTCGCTTAATGTTATGCTACATTGCAATTTGTGATCCGTCCTTAGCAATTGTCCAGTAGTGTATATCAAACCTTATGGTAAGCATTTATTAAAAAAAAGTTGTATTGACATGTTTAAACAATAGATAGATGACACCAAAACATATGGCTCTAGAAATCTTTCCTCTTTGGGATGTCGAAGGAAAAAAATAAATAAAAACAGAACATAACTTTTATTTAATGATCGGATTTTCACGTAAAAGAAGGGACTCAATTTTAATATTTCAGAGAGTGACCACAAATGTGCTAATTAATTAGTGCAGAATATACTTTAATGTACTAAATCAGACATAAAAACGTACTTTTGTGGTGTAATAACTACGATTTTTAAACATCATTTCACTAGTATATAATATAAGACATGCTAAATCGATTTAATCTTAGGGGTACCTTTTGATAGATGAAGGTTGGCAAAGTTGATAACTACTTTCCCCACATTGGTGACCTGCGGATGTGATATGATCCCGCCCACTTCAATGGATGGTTCACATTGAAAAGTTCACTTGCTATTTGTAACTGCGATTTCGTCCGCCTCACGCTGTTGCTTCTCAGTCTGACTTACGCGCAACGGGATCCTGCACACACCTTGCTAATATCAACACAGGAGAGACCACATACACAAACGTGAACTTAATATAACTCCCACGACAAGCGCTCAAAATTCGGCGAATTTAATGCAGCTCTCCCCACAAGCTCTCAAAATCTGGTGATCTTAATACAGCTTTCCTAATATTTCGAAAATGCGGCAACTAGTGGTATCCGGTCATCAGACTCACTCTCTGATGAAATTCTGGTATTGGAGTATTGAGGTGTAACTACAACTGCGATTATTAAACATTAATTCACTAGTGTATGAGACATGCTGACTCGATTCAATATTAGGGGTACCTTTTGATAGATGAAGGTTGGAATAGTTCATTATTACTTTCCACATTGGTGACCTGCCAAGGTGATATGAACACGCCTACTTCGATGGATTGTTCACTTTGAAAAGTTGACTTGCTATTTAGGACTGCGTTTTCGTCCTCTTCGTGCTGTTACTTCTCAATCTCATTTACACAAAACGGGATCCTTCATACACCTGACTGCTAATAGCAACACAGGAGAGACCACATGCACAACCGTGAACTTAATACAACTCAAAATATGGGCCACCACCCATATTTTAAGGGTTAGGGATCTATATTCGTCGATTCAAAAAATAAGGTTATTTAGAGAAAGTATGTTTTTGTGTCTGACTACGTAACTTAAAGCATTGTCTACTCTAATTAATAAGAATATTTGAATTCATCTTCTTAAACCATTAAGATTGAGTACTTGTACGTGAAAATCCAATCTATAATTATTCAAAATTTTCTGGTTTTCTTTGTTTCGTTTTTTCACCGTACATTTGGTTTGTATTCTGTGCTGGTTGCAAAATGATGCAATTTATTTGTCAATTTGAGATGGAAACAGAAATAAATTAGTAAATAAAGATTCGGATGATATTTCCTATTAACATGTTGCTTTGAAAGATGAAGTTGCTCTGTTTGACAATGATATCATTGAAGAAGTTAAAGTGGAACGTAGTAAATCTTTAAATCTTCTAAAATATGTTCTACTAACGACGATCAATTTCGCTATACTTCAGTACATATCATTAATACATTCTCAGTACATATTAAACTGTAATCGGTTGAAATTTAAAAATCATGCCGGAAATATTAATACAGTAATATGCAGTGAGTGAAATCATCAAAATGATTAATTCAGTTTCATTGGATGTTTTTTAATCTTAATGTGATTTTTTCATTATTTTAATAAATTATTTTTTTTGCAACTATATTGAAGTATTTTAAATGAATTTCTTCTTTTTTGTATGTTTGTTTCTCTTATATTAATAATTTAAAAATATTGAAAACTAAGTTTTGGTTTTCGTTTAATAAGTAAAGGACTGCGTGTTTTTTTAAAAATAAATACCGTCAAAGAATGACTTCACTTTTTCCTTTGTGATTAATATTTCCACCAGATCATTTGAGGGTTAATGAAACGCATAGTTTTTAAATGAAATAAATAAAAAATCTAAATTTGCTCTTATTTTTGGCCTTTTACTGTAACACACATATATTTATTTGAGCATAAGAAATGTAATAGATATTTTAAAAAATTGTAATTCATAAGTTTTGTCATCAAAATTTGAAAATCATCACCAAATATTTTATTTATTTCAAGCAATCCTTTCCGTATTGAAATAAATTCTTGAAATGTGGATTAAAAAATAAAAAACATTGAAAGTCAGAAAAGAAAGTTGTTAAGAAAAATTAAAGAAAAAAAAAGAATAAAAAAGTTAAAATTACTATTCCTAGTACGTAATTTCCATTTCACTCTTATAAACTATTAAGTCAGCCACCGCGCGTCTTACCTGATACTTTCATCGTTCTCTATTTCATTCTTTTTGGAATCTTAATCAACAATGTGTATCCGCTGTCAGCCTCCGCAAGTCTTATCGTGTGAAAATTATTTTCAGTGTTCCGTAATTCACTTGTGTGGCGAAATTCAGTACGGAGAGATTCAGTACAGCGAGATTTATTACATTTTTAACTATTACTACTAAACAGTTAGACATTTTTCGGAAATTTTTTTTAAATAAAAGTTTATTTATTGTTTACTGATAAAGTCTCCTAGTTTCTTGCAGATGTATATATACGATTTTTTGCACTAATATGACATTTTCATGACCGAGAGAAAGAGAACCGGGTTTCTAGTCCCAGTGTTGACATCACAATATTTCCCAAACATTAAGAGTTCCCAGAGTCCTGCACTCCCCAATTTGTGATCCTGCACTATTAGAATACTATATTCACATTTAAGCACACGTGACAGCACCATAAACTGCTAAATTAACTCCAATGTCCGGCTAAATTTCTTTTTCGATTTGAAACCATGATAGTTGTACATGGTAAAAAAAATCACATAGTTTTGCATTCATGGTTTCTTAACCGTACTAGTTGTAATCGGTTTCAAAACCATAAAGGTAAAAAAAAGTTTCTTTACTGTAAGCTTTGCGATTCATTGGATGGACAGACGGCTACCGGTTATTTTATCATAATTTTAGAAAGAAAATTCTGACAGTAAAGGGTTGTAGAGTCTTTAGGTTTACTAAACTTTGCACTCGTGACACTTATTTTTCGTAACGAACCTATCTAAATATGTAAATTAATACAGATTTTTTTGTGAACTTTAAATTTGATTTTTTAATCATCAACTCTGTTAAAAAATTAGCTGAAAAACTCCGGTTTATGCAGCTTTCATTTAGACAAATCAAAATTGTTTTGCCTTGAAGGAATTCATAAAGAAGGATATTTTAATCATGAATTTTGTTGTAGTTTATGAATAAGAAATATTGATACATTTTAATAAAAAATATATACTATCATAAGCTTCAAAAAATTATATTCGCAATATTTCTTCCTCTTTTTCAATGGCACGTCAGACCTGGGGGAACCATGGCCTTCCTCAGAGGCAAGTTCCAAGATATAATATTTCACTCATGCAAAAAAATATTTCGTATTTATAGAATGTAAATGATTTTCAAAATTTGTTTACAGGAACTTATAATTTTTTAGAAATAAACTGTGGTGTTGTCTTGGACACATATGTACATACAATTGAGCCTCAATTCTTTCCACTTAGTCAATATTGATGATAAGCTCCTTTTAAAACAATATATTTGAAGAGAAAATCTTCAAGTTACACTTGCGATGTATCTGTAACATATCGCTAATGATATTATTGAAAAACACATTGAAAGTTTATGGGAAAAGTTCAAAATTAAGCTAGCCTTTGAATAGCGTAGAGCAGCTATTCCTTTAGAAATGGCTTTTGTTCCATTGTTTGGCAATGGTTCGATTTCTAACAGACCACAAAGAATGTTATAGATGTCCACCATTTGAAGCGGCTCAGATGTGTGATTTCTTTTTAGACCTAAAAATAAAAGATTGTTTGAAATGTAAATATATATTTGTCATAATCGTTTAGACGCACCAAATGCAAAATAACGACTAAAATTTCTGAAAATGCTATGTAGATTTTTTTGATTAAAAACATATTGACTGAATAATAGTTAACAAGGTGTTTGAATTTTATTAACCATATAAATGTTATAAAACAGTGGGAGTTTCGATGCAAAAAAGGTAACGTTTTTTCTTCATTAGCTTTTTTTCTCAAAATACACTTAAATTCCAACGCTTTCGGTATACTTTTTGTCAGAAGTTGCTCTATGTAATTAACTAAAATTTGATAAAATGTTAGTACGAGTATTAATTCGCAGTATAATTCAAAAATATAGCAATATTTTTTGTAAAAGTAGTAGTTTCGATTATTAAAGTGAATTTAAAAAATTGTATAATCATCTTATATTGCCTTGTAAATTACATATTCAAATTTTTTTAATTTTTTAAAAATAATAATGCATTCTTTAAAGAAAAAAATAATTTACGATTAAATAAATCTAAGTTTAGTCAACTAATATCAAATGGTTTGTCAAAAAGAATACCTAAGAATTAGTCATTTTGCAGAAACACTATAGAGTATTACCTAGTTTTAAGCTTCTTGAAAATTATGTATTGTAAGCAATACTTTTTTGTGGTATTTTCATGCTCAAATGTGTACAACAGTTTTCCATGCAAAATCTTTTTTTTAATTTCTTTACCTAGCTATGATTTTGTGTATGCTTTTGATAAAATGAGATTCTTTTGAAATTTTACTGTCGAGAGTTCTATGTTGCCTTAACTAAAGAACTACTACGAATCTAATGCGTATTGATAATTCTAACGGAATTAATTTTATGCACTATTACTTTATAAAAAATCCTATTCGCTTCAAAAATATACAAATTGGAAGTAACAGTCGATATGTTTCAAGCGCTTAAAAGCAGACGCCTATTTTCAAGACTTGCAAGACGTGAATGAGAAACGACAAAAGTGATTTTTTAAAAAAAAAACGTAATACTACCAACGAAAAATGAAAAAATAAAGGTGATAAACAAAACTAAAGAAACCTATAAAGCTGAAAGAGAGAAAAAAGATGAAAAACGGAACAAGAAACACCACAGTGACCAAGAGAGGCAAATTGGAATAAATTGCATTTCAACATGATATGGAGAGGTAAAGAGGAACTAATGTCGTTAACAAGGGAATAAGCATTAATATGAATAAAATAAGATTCCAGGAGATCAAGATGATCTGATGGGGTTAGATTGGACACCCATTTTTAGGATAAAAATGGGCGCCGGTTGTTTTTAATCACTTAAAACATGTCGAATGTTACTTAAAATTTTGATAATTTTGAAGCGAATGTAATATATTACAGATGAGATTCTCGGGATTATTTATTTAATTTCAAGCATTGTTTAACTCACCTGGCCCTCTTGCAAAAAATATTCCTCTCATATCTATCACCTCATATGGATCATATCCATGAGATCCTAATGATATTGATGATCCTGTTGGAATACTCTTCCCTGGAATATCCAGCTACAAAATGATGAAAATTAACTAAAATGAACCATGAAAAAAATTCATAAGAAATGAAGGAAGAGAATTAGATGTAAATAACTTTTAATTTATTTGATTAAATTTTTCCTCACAGGCTTTTTGCGCAGAGGAGACACCACTGTTCCTTTTATATTTTTTTCTAGTGCTCTAATTACAAGTAAAAATATATGTTGATATTTTTTTAATATTAAAAGCAGTCTAATAGTTACTGAAAATCTGCTAGATTAATGGAATTATATTTTTACTAAAATATAAAATCCAGAAATAAAGTAGTTTAAATTCTTTTCATTTCAATTCAAAAATGTATCAATATCTGATTTTGTAAATTAAGGAAATTTCTATAATGAATTATTGTTTCTCTCCGATCTAAATATGGGCAAATTTGAAAAATCATTGTTTGATTCATTGTTGTTTGCCGCTACCACAATAAATTATTAAAATTCTAAATATAGTGTATTTCTTTTATTCTGACATAAATTAACCCAGAATAATGATAAAAACCCAAAAAATATATCTAACGAAAATTCTGCGTCAAAGAGTTGATATTCATAATTGCTTGTAAATTGCTAAAAGTTTAGAAAATACCTGATTTATTACATACTTAGAGGATGATTTATCACAAAAACTTTGTTTAACTATGCAGTTTCTAGATCCTTAATAAAAATAAAATCCTAAAAAATCCGTAAGATTAGGGAGGGGAATTATTAATTAGGTGAGTAAAAGTACAATGCATTGTTAAATTATGATGAATCTTAACCAAAGTAATAACAGCACAAAATTAAATAATATAGATAAAAATCAGTTTTTTAGTTGCACGGAAATAAAAAGAAGTTTGTGATTCCCTATATATTTCCCTTCCGCTCCAAACGACTACTAAACTAGGCTTTATTTACCTTAGTTCCTTTTCTCTTTGTTCCGATTAACATTGTCATTATTAGTAAAAATTTAATAGCTTATTAGAAGTTCAAAAGTATAGGCATTTATAATTTCATTTTAGACAAGAATTTCTGAAAGAGGTATTTAAATATACGATTATTGGTAGTACATATGTACAGAATTTTACACAAAAATATGGTTGAAATACTTTAATTATGGTTTAATCACGGAGATTTAATTTAGAAAAAAGTTAAAATTGAATTTATGGCTTTAATCATGGAGAAAAAAAAATTCTGGCGAAATTATCGTATTGCATGGAACTGATATTTTTGTTAAAAAATACCCTGATTCTAGTTAATAAAACCAAAATATACGGTATTTAAACCATTCATTTCGGTAAGTTTTCCATTTATGAGGTAACACGTTACCGGAAATTCTGGTTTTCAAAATTATAGTTCTTATTACTACACATTTAGTAAAAAATATAAACTGGTGAAGTAAATTGAACTGAATAAATAGTTTTTTTTGCTATTCTCTAAGGTATCATGAAAAAATACAAAATTTCACCACATTTACCAAATTTTACAATACATTATGAAACCATATTTTATTGTCAATTTTGCCAAAATTATTACCATAGCACTTCGGTAAAAGTTACTGGGAGTTTAGTTGAGTAAATTTTGCCATATTCTGGTAGTTTTAGCCATACTTTTTTATCAATGTACGATAGAATCCAGTAATATTAGTTAATGGAGGTAATTGGTACTTAGTGAATTTTGATAATAGGTTCCTAATATGCTGATAAAAGTATTGTGATAATACATTTCTTAAGGTCCTCTGAAAAAAAAGAGCATAATTAAAAGATTAAATAGATGCGGCATATTGAGTTACGTATTCATCTTAGCGGTCATAAATGTATTAGATTGCAGAAAAAGATCACTATTTTTGTAGCTTTCTATCTTTTTTGAGGAGGCATTTTTCAATTTATACATACTTTAATCTATACTCCCAATGAGCGTCAGATTTTAGTCAGAAATTCGAAAAAAAAATGAAACTGTAGGAACTACAAATTGTATACGTTTAACTTTATATAAACTTTATTTACTATTAAAAGAATTATTTTTAAACTTTGTTCGATCAAAATATGCTTAATCTATAACTGCGGTAAGAAATCATTAATTTTCTTGACTGTTTCTTTTGCTTTTCAGGGAAATTCAACTTATATATTGTCACTTCGCTCATTGCCACATAAGACTTGACTTTGATCTTAAATAATAATAACTACATATACGTTTATCATTGGATCAAGCTCCACACGATTCTCTCAAAGGTGTTCATTAGTTAATCTAGACTTACATTTTTGCAGTTTGCATGATTAGAACTATTAAAAGTTTAATCTGAAGTAGTTTAAATTTAAAAAAAAGGAAAAATTAGCTCTTGAATATACGATCTTGAATATGCCCAATATTTTGTAAAGTGTCTGCAGGCACAATATGTTGTTTTGAATCAGGCACGATTTCATAACAGATATAAAATTATTGCTACAGAAAATATTTATCTTTAATTTAAATATCAAAACTGCAAAGATAAATAAGTTACTCACTCCTTTGATGTAGAAATTCTTGGATGCTACAAGTAGAATTGGAAGCGTCAAACGGTTGTGTTTTATATGGTAATGTTCTGGAATGTCTTCCTTAAGATAAACGTGAAGACCTGGTACATTTTTAAGCCTCTCGTAAACCTACGAAAAACATAAATAAGACTCATTGATAAATAGTAATCAAGAAAAGCAGAATTTTCATAAAATCAATTTGAGTGCTTAACGGATAAATTTTAGCATAGCTGGAATCTCTCTACCTGGTATTTCGTAATGACCGACCAAAAATCAATAACTGTAATGACGGTCATTGAGTTTTAAATACCTACGGACTTTATTAAAACAAGAAGTAGTAGTATTGAACATACAAATTTATTTTTACTTACCCGTGTTCGATAGCTTTTAAGCATATTCGTCATCTATCCTTGTAAAACTTTTTATAAATCTTAATCCCTTTATTAGTTGAAGGAATTTTATTTATTGCAACATCGAAATTTATTTCATTACCTTAGTATATTGTAAAAACATTTTGTGCATTAGATTTTCTTACAAGGGTAATTTAAATCAATTATATTTTCAGATAATTTAATTATAATTGCTGTTTACCTTTAATTAATTTTATTTTTTACAGGATTTCCGAATATTTTGGTTTTTATTAAAAACTTTTATGCAAAAATTATGCATTTATGCAATTTCATTTTATGTTACACAGTTTTTTTAATACATATTTTGTTTTAAATGCTATTTTAATTCTTTAATGAATGTAGAACTGGAGTTGTTTTACTTATTGTTTCCATATATTATTCTAAATGTTCGATTTTTGATAATTTGAACTTGAATATCTGTATCATGAACATATAATTTTGTAAGTAATTTTGTACTTTCATAAATATAATAGATTATAAAACAGGAAACCTCATAAAATGTTAGCGTAAAGATATCAGCTAACAGATAAGTAAGTTTAACAATTCATATACAATTTCATAAACGGAAGCTTGCTTTGAAAATATTTTGTATGTTTTTGAAACGACGAGTAATTTAAATTTTTAAATTAAATCCATCGAGTATACCTATTAAAAATCATACTAATTAAAGCACACTAATTTACTTTATCATTTCTAAAGATTAATGAAAAATACCTTTAACGGTTATAAGACATATTATTTAAATTGAATTATTTTTAATAAGAAGCAATTATTTTTAATATTCTGTTGCTATACACGAAACAAAAAATAATATCAATTATCTCAATTTAACTAAATCAAATACTTGATATTGGGATTTCAAAACAACCACTTAAATAAAGATTTTCAAATTCAATTTTCTGTTAAGTTTTAAGAGCTCAGAATTTATACAAGTGCCAGTTTCAGACTTATTAATTAATACAAGCATTTGTCAGGATTTTGATGATTAAAGTGATTTATTTTCATGTGCCATATAAAGATTAGACATGTTTTAATTAATACTACTTGCATCTTAATAACAACGCCTTTCAAACACGCACTTTACTTAGCAATTTGCATTATTTATAGATGATTACGATTTTAAGTAAACGAACTATAAATTTTGCATCAACTTGGAAAAGTATTATAATTGGATGGTTGCTAAGAAACAAATTCTTATAGATAAATTCCTTTTGGTAGACGAGTGTTGATTTGAAACGTATTAGTTGCAAAAATCTTTAATTATAATTTGCGCTAGCGTTTAAATTATCTCAGCATTTCCATCTGATTAAATTTTTAGTGATATATATATATANATATATATATATTAGTTAGGACATTGGGTGAACGGAGTAGTTAAAACTCAAATGCAAGAAAATTTGTTTATTTAATTTATTTAATTGAATAATTGAATAAAAAATCTGTCTCGACCTACAATTTTTTGTAGACAGAGAAATTTTTTTTGTGGCATTATTTTTCGCCGCCCATTTGGCCGAGGGTGACTGCGAAGTTAGTGGCTGCTGGTTCGAATCCCGTTCAGGGCATGGATGTTTCAATCAGTGTGTTGTCCTTTGTTCTGTGTGTTGTGTGAATATGGCCCACTCTATGAACGGTTATCTGTCGCAGTGTGGAGTGGGTAATGCTTGCTTGCCTCCTTGACTTAAAATCACTGGTGATTACTGGGCACCAGTAATTCTGGGCAAATGAGCAACACTTCCGGCGTCTTCCAAGGTGAAGAACAAAAGTTCAGTACCTGGCTTTAATTAAAGGGAAATAAAAGGAGGAAAAAAAACGCAATCCTTTGTTTGCCTATACAGTGAAAAATAATTCTAGTAAAATTACCGTAATGTATTGTAAAGACATTTCGGATAAAATAAAGTCATGATTCTGGTAATAAAACCAAAATGTATAGCATTTAAACCCTTCATATGTTAACGGTTCACCTGAAGCTATTTAAAGTTTATATATAGTATACATTAAAAGTATTATTATTACTAATCAAAATATTTAACTGCAACAAATTTTGCAAATCTAAAGCTAAAATAGACTAAAAAAAAAGATTTTTTCACATATAAAAAAAAATGATAATCTCACCAATTTAATAAAAAATAATTGAAAGTGATTATAAGGTGATTGGGAACGGAAGTTTAAGGTGAATTAGAAATTTCAGTTGGAAAAAAATTGGATGCCGAAGATATCTGCTTGGTTAAAATAATAGGAGTATCGTTGCCTTTTCATACTATTTAAAAAACGTGGCTTTAAAAAAAATTTCATTATTTTATTATTCTACTCATTTTTATTCTGCCTATTCCTTTTTACGATTTTTTTTATCGCTGCAAATTTAAACAGAAAATGATCATTTTTCCCCTTAAATCTACACTTTATATTTAAATGCCTGTTATTATTATTGTGCTCTTTAACATTATGTGTATAGGGGTTTGGATGCTGAAAGATATTTCTTTCAATCAAAATTGGAAAGTGGTCTAAACTTACATAACAATCTTTGTCCACACGAGAAAGCAACAATCAAACAAGGAAACTAGCCTGTAAAACGTGATAAAAACGAATACGAAAAATAAATAGTTAAATAATCGTGTGATATATTTGTTATTGTCCATGCTACTATTTGCCGAAATTAAAAGACAAATTTAAGGAGAGCATGGCACGGAATTGAATCACTAATTTCCTCTTGTGTGTTGTTAAAGCGCAACAGCACCCCTCAAAAATTGTTTATAAAAATCTAAAACAAAATCTTTAACATTCAAACAATCAAAATTTAGAGTAAAACAATAAAATAAAATACTTCGCAAAAAAAAGAATGATAGGAAAAAATATTTTTGCTTGATATGAGCAAATTAATAATAACGAAAATTCTCACCTTTAAAATTTTCCCTTCGTATGGTAAAAGCATGCTTGTTGCTCCATAGTAAACCATATATTTGATGTCTGAAATTTCTATTACTTGGTGTAAATTAATGACATTCAAGAATTTGGAATCTGTCGATGTCATCCCATGATCAGAAACAACCACAAGATTAACCTGAAATGTAGTTTTTTACATAATTTAATGCAATGTTAAGAACAAGAAAAAATAAAAGCAAAATTACATTTCGCTGCCCATGTTACGAAAATAACATATTATAGTAAAGTGTTAAATAAGATGTTGTTGTAGCATATGTCAAAACTGGAACTCAATCAATAACCTTAGGCCATTCATCAAGCAACTAATCAGCATTACAAGGAGATCTTGAAATACCACAAAGCATCAAATTACTTAACACATTAAAAACACGATAAGGACTATACATTTAAAATGTATAAAAATTACATAACTAAAACGTAAAAATTAAGATAAATTTTACAGGGGGGAGAGAAAAAATCTTATGTTCTGGTCATGATATTCCTGGACGTCCAATATGTCTGGCAAACATTTCCTCTATGCTGTAACCTAATGTTAAGATCCGGGTTGTGTAATCGTAGCGTCTGTATTACTAACAGGTCAAAATCTATTAGTTGATATACTTATTCTGTGTTGGTGTTGGCTAAGTAGTCATGACCAGTAGTCAATCTGAAATTAGTCACACAGCTTCCTTACATGGCCAGCGATTGAACACAGCCCATTTATTTTTATTTCTTCTCAGAATTTATTCTTCGATTTATTTGATAGTTCTGATCAACACGTTTTCTTCTATACTTTTTTCTAAGAGCATCCCAGGAAATGAGTCCCTGTTCAAGAAATATCTAAGTAACACTCTTTGCCAATTGATCTGCTTTTTTATTATCATCAATATTAGCATGGAATGGAAGTTCACTATTTTACAGTTCTTATTTGATTCATTGATCGTTTGTTTTATTTTAGCTACGTGAAGAGTTTCGGCATGGCGTTGAAAAGCTATTGACTATATGGCTGACATAGAATCAGCAAAGATAACGGCTTTCTCTAGTATTCAAATTATTTACCGTCAAGAAGACCATACGCACCTTTGCAACGAAGTTTGAAAAGTGATGGCCTATCGGTCATACCATGAAAATGAAAATAATCTCTCTCTTTCCCCTCCCAGCTTTCTTCATTTTGGGCTCTGGGGTGTAAGAAGCAGATATTACGGCTAAGTGCAAAATACTCAATGTTCAGCCCCCCCAGCATGTTTGGTGCTCTTTTTATCAACCCAATTAAAAGATCCAAAGCTGAAGTTTTTTTTCAGAAAAATACAGGTTTAGTTTTAATTAATAATATTTCAAAAACTTATTAATTCCTTAACAATAAATACTTGAAAAGTTACTCTGTTGAAAGGTAAATTTTAGATTTTAACTATATTGAAAAGTTGATATTAAACGCTGTTTTTAAAGCTTCAGATACGTACAAAAATGCATCTCTGGCAAAGTTAGAGAATTTTATTAAATACCTTTCTATCTAAACCTTTTCTTTCCATTTCACGTTGTGTCAAATCTAATAAGTTGTCTATATCCTTTATTGATTGTTTGCGTTCATAAGAGTTTGGCCCATATTTATGACCTAGAAGAAATTTTTCATCTGTTCAAAATTCAAAGAATAAAATAAGACACAAGTGTTATTCAGTATCAATTTATATCATTACCAAACAATATAGTCTCTACGGAAAAAAATGACAGTTCTATCTAAACACTTGGAGCTCAATAAACAACATATGTTTCAAACATTATTCCTAAGCATATAGCTCTAAATATAAATATGTATTTATTGGAAAATTAGAAGATGTGTCCGACATCCATAATGAAGCATGTCTAGAAAGTAAATACCTTTTTGTTCTACCGCAACCATAGTGGTAGTGTTGCACACACATATCTCAGGCAGTTGGATTGTCTGGCCACTAACGTCATTGCAGTCGGATTGTGCTTCTTTTACATATGTCAGTGAACATACAAAATGTTTAGGACTATTACGGATGTCTCCAATTGTAAATTGTTTTCTGTAGTACGGTTTTGGAATGCAATGTAAAGTCAGTTTTAATTTATCGTCAACACTTCATAATAAAATGCATTGTTAAGAGGTTCCACAAATTTCAAAATCTATTTATCATGAGATTGTCTTAAATCGATGTCAACTCAAAAAAGATATCTAGCTAGTGGTTGTCTCTCCAGTTGGCTTCTTTCCTTGATTAGGGTAGGAAGAATTTGGTTTTCTGCCACGACAAACGTCTGAACAATGTTTGGAAAAATAATTTCAGAAAAGCTCTTTCATATAACAAGTTTTTCTTTGAAAAATACATTTTTTCGAGAGTTTTTTCAAAACAGAACTTATTTTCAGTACACGTCTCGTATCTAAAAAAAGCCTTTGAAAATAGCTACTAAAACCTAAAAGAATATCATGCTTGTTTATTGCCGGATTACATATTGCAAGTTTAATTTATATGCTTACAGACTGATCTACCCTTACACTGTCTAATCAACTGTCTAATGAAAAAATCTATCTGAATCTATCTCAAAAATCCATCTATCTATTTGAAAAAAGTTATCTATCTGACATAAAATTTTTTATCTGATTTTAAGACTGTTCAAAATGCATGATTTTAGTATAGGAGTTTGAAGGTTTGTTGAACAATCGTCGCGAATTCTGCGAGATTCGTCTTCTATAAACTTTTTTATTTTAAGTTGCATTTCCTAATGAAGTGGGTTAATAGATATGTAGCATTAAACCTAATTCTTTAATTCATTTCACTCTAAATCTATTCATCCTAAATTCATTTCCTTAAAAATGAGCCTTGATGGCTCAGGGGATAGAGCGTTCGCCTTCCAATGGGGTGAACCGGGTTCGAATCCGAATCGATACGAATTCCGCATCCGGCTTGCACCGACCACAATGCTGACATGAAATATCCTCAGTGGTAGACTGATTATGAGTTAGAGTCCCTTTGCCGTCAGGATAACCGTGAGAGGTTCTCGTGGTATTCCTCTCCGTGTAACATAAATGCGGGTTAGCTCCATCAAAAAGTCCTCCACGAAGGCAAATTTCTTCCAATACTCCATTCAGGAGTTCCCTTGTCTTCTTGATTGGGTTCAAAATTACAAGTCTACGGAGTTGAACATTAGTAGTCATAAACCCATAAAATTGGGTCGGCTGTTCAACGACAGTTATAAAATAAAAAATAAAATGAAAGAAAGGAAAAAATTTTCTTAATTTCCCAAAATGCATTTTTAAGGCTTTTGGCAAACAACGGAAACTTTTGCGACTTCTGAATCTTCACAACCTGCATTGAGACATTAATTTTAAAAGTGTAACATTAATTTTTACGCCATATAATAAAATATTCAAAAAAATATTTGCTAAAATCATTCTTAAATAATATGTTTGCTGATATCAAAAGAAATACTGATAAAAAATATTTAGGTAATTCTGGTCACAGTAATGAAATAGACTAAACCTTTCTATTAAAAAAATAGTGCGTGGAGTCCCTCCGCGCGGAAGAAATTAAACTTCGCAACCTGCGACGTTAATTGTAGAAGAATCAGCAGTCGTAGAAGGATTACTAGTCCTACTCAACGACTCTTTTTCCTGCTCCGCTCGCTTCCGTGCTCTGTAATCACGGTAATATTGTGCATTTTTCCCTCGTGGACCTCTTGAACCAGTGGAAGTGCTTGTGGTTGCCTCATCGTCTCGCCCTGGAAAATGTATTTGTATTAATAATGTATGTGAATGCGTCATAATGTAATTTCAGAAGAGAAAACCTAACAATCAATTGATATTCACAAGAGACGTACCTTGACATAACCTTAAATCCGTCGCATTGTCCGTGGGATTGTTTTCACTCATTTTTTACAATTGTTATCCACTAAATTTGAAAATAAAAAATACTACCCTATTAAATTATATGTGTATCAAAACAAACTAAAAAAATATTTATAGAAAAACAATACTTTTATGACTTTTATTATTTTTATGCTAGTGAGAACCAAAACAATATGGAAATGAATGAGGGAAAACTGGATCCTACCACGTGATTTCCCGGCCAATAAAAATGTAGCGTTAAACGTTTAACGCAACCTTGTTGGAAGTCGCATAAGAAGTATAACTTCAATAAATTTTTACTCCTTTACATCCTCAAATCATTAATTTACTATAACCGTCTTATAAATTACTTATTTAATTTTAATATTTTCATGGAATAAGTTCCAATATAACAAAATCAAAAACCTTATTCAACAAAACTCATTATCTAAAGTGAAAAAAAAACACACTGATAAAGAAAATATCTTGACTTATACATTCTTGTAAAACAAGTTATTCAAACAAATGGTTAATTTAACGCATAATAAATTTAAATACCCCAAAAGAAAAATAGTTATCTTCTTCAGAAATGAAACATGCATATTATATCAGCTTTGGGACTCAGTAATTACCTCATCTGCATTCTTTAGGGAAAGCAAAATGGTTTTAGTCTATGGTAAATAATTCTCATTTAGTAATATGAAAAATATCTAACATAAGTCTTAGGGATTTGTGGAATAACACTGAAATCTAGAAATGGATGTTAGCCAAAACTACTTTTGTTTCGATGGGATATTTAGGGAAAAACAAAGAAACAAATAATACTAACAAGACACTTTTTCCCTGAACGTCTCTTAGGCGACGAATTCTTATTCATTACTTGTGGTTGAGAAGACTTAAGATAAAGAATGTAAACATAGGTTCAGAGGTTAATGATGAATGTTTTTTACTTCAGAATTCTTGGTATTTTAAGCATGCTTTTTCTTTTTTGATGTATGTCTTCGTAATTTAATAAATGTAATTAATGAAATATTTACAGAAGAAAATTGAGTCAAATCATTGTTTAAATAAAAACAATCGTTAAAAAAATTGCAAAAGCTTATTAGTTTATTAATTACGGATGCAATTCGGTTTGAAAATTTTGTCACATATTTCTTCAACTTCCTCAAAAAAACTATCTTGTTCTTGATTAATAATTTGATTTATCACTTAGACAAAAACAGGAGATGTTGAAAATTCAGCATTCGTTTTCCGAAGCAATATTTTAATACTTGTCAGGATTCAAAATTCGTTGCAATGTTCAGGAACATAAGATGCTACTAACTGATAAAAAATATAAAAAATTTATTTTTTTAAAAATAACATTGTTAAGATAAACGACGTGACTCTGCCTGAGGCAAAATTAACATTTGCAAATGCAAATATTTTAGTTGCAATAATCTGATATTCAGCAGAAAATACAGTCTTAATCATTCTCTGATTATTAGCGACATCTGTTGACGAACCAAGTAATTATTTTTTTTAAGTGAGGGGATAATAAAAATATGGTTTTCTAATCAGAAAGCAACAAGAACAACCAAACATGTCTGTCTGCAAGATTTTTAAATTCGTAAGTCATTTTTAAGATACTCGGCTTATTGTTCTAAGACTTTTAATTCATAAATCTAAATGATAGGATTATTCATATTATTTATGACTATGTATAACTGAACAATAAAAAAATCTAGTTTTTATTTGTTATTTAATGTATACATCGTAATGAATCCTTCATATTTGTTGTCTTTTCAGGTTTTTGTTGTTCTGGTTATTTGAACTCAACTTCTAACTGACTTGGAGATACAAATATTAATTCTTCGAGGAGGCGAGCAAATCTAAGAGATTGATTTCAAAATAGTTTTAGTATACATTTCTTCTTAAAATACAATCTTTTTTGTTCGAATAACTCTTAGATAAGAAGTTGAATATGTTGTATTTAAATATAAAATCATTTAAAACTATAAAGGGACCCACCCTTATAAAATTGCCTGGCAACTGAACTTACCAAACATTTTTTCTAAAGAGACATAATAATCCTGCAAAGTATCATTTTGACAATTAAGTATATTGACATTTTTATTTATACGATACTCAAAACAATAAAATAATTGCTTAAAACTGAGAACGAGTATCAGAAAATAATAGTAAAATGATTTGAAAAAAGGTAAAGATGTAGTGGCAAAAATTGAACTTTGAACTCAGTGGTAAAAACTAAAATTTAATCCCCTTATGATTAGGGGAAAAAATAGAGCAAAACCGTTTCGTCAGCAAAACTGTTTGAAACCGTCAAATATACAGAAAAAAATCAGTAAAAAATGTTTACATTTTCACAACTTTATTTTTCTTTAAAAGTTTTTTTCTGCGAAAATTATGTGTTTGTCGAATTTATAAATATTTCTTACAATATGTGTAAAATTAAATAAAGGCGATTGTTCTCAAATACATTTTGATATGAAACTATCACGTGTCCCATAAATAATAACCAATTTGTAAAATAAAATAAAGAAAAGTATAGAAAAGCAAAAATGTAAGATTCACAGCATTCTGTATGGGAAATAAATAATTTTAAGGCATTTGTTTTTAACAGTTTTCAATTATTTCAGTGCGCTGTTGACTAAAGAAACTATAAAATAATATTTTTTATTGTGTGTTAGAAGACGCCGACCAATTAGAATGTTTACAGGGGCAGTTGTTAATTTTGGTTGTTTGCTGCAATATGTTGCTGCTGGATTGTTTCGAAACAAAATTAACCGTACTTCTTTCTCTTTCAGTTTTTATTTAATTGATTATTTAAGTCGTGCGGTATTCTTTGGTATTCGTTCGATATATTTTTAATTATATATTAATTTTTATAGCCTATTATTAGAAATAATGTATCGAAATACAGAATTCTATAAATAAAGAAGTTTATAGACCAAAAATGATTTGAGGTGCAGAGTTATTTTTCTTTTTACAAATTATAAGCTAAACGCATGATTCAAATTAATTATTAAACTACACTCAATCATAAAAACATTTACTTACCGAAATAATCTACAGGCTCATAATAAATTTGAACTAAATGAGCATCATCACTTTCCAACATTTGCATAGCTGACATTAAGCCTTCTTTTGTATCTTCGTTGACAGATGGCCAAGAATATCCAACATATTTATATTTTCGACAGAATTTAGGCTTTTTTCCTCGTATTTCAACCTGAAAAAAATCTCTGATGAATATCATTTTAAAATAATTCCCTTCTTACGATGCTGAAATTTATTTTTAAAAACTTACTAAAATTTGTAATTATAAATTTCAATTCGAGTATAAAAACATCAAAAAAGATAAATAAAATTGTTAATATTATAGGAACATTTAATCTGTGATATTTGTTTCTAAAACTTATAATTTAAAAAAAAATAGGTTGCTTAAAAAGTTTTCGAATGGAAGTAGGGGCTGTCAACATGTAATGTCACGTTTGTTGCTGTTGTTCATTTACGTCGCACTAGAGCTGCACAATGGGCTATTGGCGACTGTCTGGGAAACATCCCTGAGGATGATCCGAAGACAAGCCATCACAATTTTGATTCTCTGCGGAGGGGATGGCACCCCCGCTTCGGTAGCCCGACGACCTGCACGTGAAGTTGAGCACTTTACGGTAGAACAGTTTAACGAGGACCAATACCGCACACCCTCGGGTCCCCAAGCAGGCTGATCCAAGTGGCCACCCACCCGCACACTGACCGCAGCCAGTGATGCTTGACTTCGGTGATCTGCTGGGAACCGTGTCTTAACGATCAGTCCACTGTGGGACATGTCACGTTTGGAAGGGAGGGAGAAAGTTAGTTGAATTCGTGACAGCCTAAGGAAGGGTTAAACAGAAGTTTGACATTTTAGTTAAAGTAAAACAGCTTGAAATTAAGCATTTAAGCATTAACATATTAAGCATTTTTTCCCTATTTTTATTATATATTTCTTCATCTTTTATAATAAAATAAGAACACATCAAATTTTAGTAAATGTTATGCTTACCAATTGTACAGAAACACGTAAATAAAATTGAAAAATAAAATTTTAAATATGATCGATAAAAAGTGTTTCGTGTCTAATATAGTGTGATAAGGGGTGTGNGGTATTAGGATGTCGTCCTCGTACCGCTGTGCAGGAAGTGTACTTCTAATGACGATCAAAGGGGTCCGGCTGTCAAAGGAAATTGCACCCCAGACCATAATACCTAGTTGAGAGCCGGTGTGGCTTGCAATAGTGAAGGTAGGATCCTCCCTCTGCCATGTGCGTCTCCAAACACGTCTTCGATGATCGTCAGGACACAGTTGGAAGCGGGATTCGCCGCTAAAGACTATACGCCCCCAGTCGGCATCATTCCAGCCTGATCGAGTCGATTTTGCGCGTCTTAGTGCGTTCTTGGTGCGTCGATTTTTTTGTCATAGAGTGTAATTCCCTTTTTACGATGCTAAAATTTATTTTTTAAAACTTAATAATATTTGTAATTATGAATTTCAATTCAAGTATAAAAACATCAAAAAAGATAAATAAAATTGTTAATATTATAAGAACATTTTGTCTGTTATATTTGTTTCTGAAACTTAAAATTAAAAAAAAATAGGTTGCTTAAAAAGTTTTCGAATAGAAGTAGGGGCTGTCAACACATAATGTCACGTTTGGAAGGGAGGGAAGAAGTTAGTTGAATTCGTGACAGCCTAAGGAAGGGTTAAACAGAAGTTTGAGATTTTAGTTAAAGTAAAACAGCTTGAAATTAACATATTAAGCATTTTTCCCCTATTTTTATTATATATTTCTTCATCTTTTATAATAAAATAAGAACACATCAAATTTTAGTAAATGTTATGCTTACCAATTGTACAGAAACACGTAAATAAAATTGAAAAATAAAATTTTAAATATGATCGATAAAAAGTGTTTCGTGTCTAATATAGTGTGATAAGGGGTGTGGTGAAATGTGATACTTTGCGACGAGGTTACATTTTCTTCTTCGAAAGCAAGAAAGGGTAACTTCTTCCTTACTTCCGATAGAAGGGTGAAAAAATATTGAAATAAAGGTGTGACATAATTTATGGATGGTCCCTTATTAAGTTCAATATTAAATAAATCTAATTGTTTAGGAACAGTACTAGTTAAATTCTCGTCACGGCAAGGCTTAGGGTCAATACTTGACAACTCAATTGCTTTAATTCAGTGCTAAAAAAGTCCCATTGCTTACAAATTCTTGTTACCGAAGATTTGCCGATTAACTCAATTTACTTGCGAAATTTTAATTTTAAGACGTTTCGTATTTTTGTACAACATTCAAATCCGCAGTTGTTGTTTGCTTTTTTTCAAATAATGTAAGTATAATTTAATGTTTTTATTATATATTTTGTATTAATTTTACAGATACCAGATGTACTTATAATATTTAACTCTAATAAGACATCATTTCTATCTAAGTCAGTTCTAAAAAAAGATGTCAATAAAAGTTTAGAAGATTAAATTGTGCACTGTAAATTATTCTGGATCAAATAATGGTAAAAGTAACGTATGGCATGGAACTTTTTACCGTAGAATTAATTTTTTCAGTTTTGGATCTATGTTCAGGAGCAAAAAATCTAATATACCATAACTTTTACTGAAATAACTACCGTAAAATTGCTGAATCACTCTAATTAAATAAATATTATAGTAAAAATTACGGTGCATGGTATTTTACAGTAAAACAGATTACATGGATGATGCGCCCAGTGTGATACCGTAATTTGATCCGGAATTTTTTTACAGTCTGGTAGCAAATACATAATTAAAAGTCATTGGTAATTTATGATTTTATTAAAGTTTGAATCACAGTTCTTTAATGAGTTAATTTAATTATAATCATTTAAAACATTCACCGTACATTTTTATAAGTACTTTGCGGTAAGTACTATTGTATTATGCCAGGATAGCCTGGTCAGTAGGGCGCTGGGCCCATGTCCGAAAATTCGCGGGTTCGAACCCCGCCGGCCGATGACTCCCCGTGTAGTAAAGTGACTGATGCACTTTAAATCTGTCGAGTGGCAAAAGTCCTCCATGGTCCCATAACAAATCAATACCTTTGAGGGTACTGGATTGGAGATCGATCGCTCACTGATTCCAGTCAAAATTACGATCTGTGGATGAATGAATGGATGTATGAATGGGTCCGCCATATAAACGGGTGCGACGTATGGTGTGGTAGAAGTCGAATTCTTGACCGGTTTCACCAGGCAAACTTGCCCGTGTGGCAAGTGGCATTAGAACCAACCAATCACTGTTGTATTATTCTTCCTAACTTCTGTAAGAAACAGTCTTATATTGGAGAAATTTCTTCTAGAGGTTTTTTTTTCGAGACACATAGGGACAAGGAGAATGTGGTTTATCATTGTTTCACAGTTAAGTTATATCGTGAGAATTACCTGACAGCCATCCCACCAATATAGAGCACTACGATATCCATTTTTTTCTGCTGTAATCCATAGGGGTTCGGCACTATCCCACCAATGCGGCACTGAGGCTGTATCATTAGGACTCATGAGAAAAAAATCCTCGTAATGGGAATCGTACATCATATTTTGTATAAATCCGTGGCTTTCAGCGTATAAACCTGAAAAATAAATCTGAATGAAATTTTTTATTGAATGCAAACTTTGATTAAGTTAAGAAAAGACAATTATTTAGCCAACTTACGAATGAATGGGTGTCTCATAAGTAATATAATACTAAAATGATAAAGGGAAAATTAAGTAAATCAAGAGAATTTGTTTTTCAATTTATCAAATCCCAGTGCCTCTAATGGCTTAGACATTTAGAGACGAGAGTTAATAATTACGACTTGAAAAAGATCAACTCTACTCTATGGGAACCAGGCCCAGAGGCCGGAGGAAGGAGAAGTTAAAATGGAGGGCTGTATGGGATAGAATAGAGGGAAAATCCAGGGCTCACCAAGGCTTGTAGTGCTGTAGAAGAAGAATTGGTGTCTCAACTTAGATTATGGAATAATGTTTAATACAAATAAGAATAAAAGAATTTCTTTCGAAAAAAAAAAAGCGAAATTTATCGATCTTATTTGCATTAAAATAGATACAGTTCATTTCTGGCACTTAAAATTTGCAATTAATCAAGAATTTCTTAAAGTTTTAAAACAATCATGAAAAACTTTTAAATTTCTGTTTGGATAAACACTGAGTTTTTTCATTGCTTTGGGGGTATAAATTGTCACGGTTAAATTAAGAAAAAATATAATAAGAATAATGGAATGGATTTACGATTCTAAATTTCAACAGCTAAGATACCCTGTACTGTTTCTGCTCCGAGTTAGACAATTAATTTGACATTTTAAATCATTTTCCATTAAAATGCTTAAAAAAAACTCTATTAAAATTTAGAGAAATGTTTTTAAGTAAAACAGTTTAACTTCCTTAGTTTTTACTTGAAACTGAAAGCATATTTATTAAAACAGGGGGAAATTTTTGGGTATTTCTAAGCTTACATTTCAGCTTTAAAACTTAACCTAAACCTTAAGATTTTCAAAACTTAAACCTTTTCATTAAAAGAATGTTTTAGGACTATTTAATTTTGCAAAAATAGTATTGAGCATCACCCAATACAAAAAGATAATGAGAGAATAAATTAGTTCAGAGGTAACAAATTCGGCCAAAATTGTTATTTTTCAATCAGATTTAGCTCTAAGCCTTAACAAAAAGAAAAAGAATGAAACTACCAACTTTATTAAAAAATAAAATGGTTGTTTTTGCATAATCAGGAAGGTCTCGCAAGCAAAAGCTTGCAAAAATGGATTACAGAACTCAAAATCAATAAATGTCAGATAGAATCTAAGTTGAAAAGCGTGTAACTGGTACTGAAATGAAAGAAAGAACATTCAAAATTAATTAAGAATGAAGAACTGATAACTGTGAAACTAAAAAACTGATAACTGTGTTTGATTCGGTTAATGCGCGAACTACTGTAGGTTATGAAAAAAAGTTTCAAAAATAATTTTGAGACACATTGATATGTATGCATAAGTAAATCACCTATTGTGACAACAAAATATTTAAACCGACTACCACTTATTGTAAACTGAATACATAATGTAATGAATGCTGTAAATTTGAAATATAATAAATAGAGGGATTTTTTTCTCCTAATTAAAAGTCCTATAGAGACAGAGCCACTATTATTTTCGCAGTCACCCTCCTACCGAAGAACTATGAAACTTAGAAACTTGAATATGAAGGCATATAAAAATTCCAAAGTGCGATGGAACAAAATATTATAACATTCGATATTTAGTTTGTGAATTATCAAAAGATAACTTAGGATTATGCAACGAGGGAGTTCTCGTCTAATAACTTGTTTACATTTTGATAATTGAATTTTTTTTTCGGCATTTGAAACTACATTGCTTACTTTTGATTAGCTTGAACTCACTTTTTCTATACTTTAAATTTTAAATTAATTTTGGAAGTGGAATAAAATTTTCGATGAAAAGTTTTTCGCTCAGTATGGCGTCATCTTAAGCAATCATAGAGATTGACTAATGACGAGAGCAGCGGGGGAAATATAGTTTGTCTACGATAAGAATTCCCCCAGTGCACAATGTCTGAGGACGTCTGTTCCTAATAATGAAATGGAGTCTTTGATCATGAAGTCTTTGAATTTAAAGCATAATTAATTAGAAACTAAAAATAATAAATATAAAATTCAAATCGATTTTGACTTAATGACTTAAAAATGAAAAACAAATATTAAGAAATTAATATACTTGTGACATTTTTATTTTAAAAAAAAGAATTAATACCATACTTATAAGCATTTTTAGTTCATTGATCAATTCGTAATAATATAGTAATTATAAAGTTGTGCTATCTTGTTACAAATTGCGCTATTTTGTGATTGTTTTGTTTTTGTAATTTTTTTACTTAATTGTACCAATAGGAAGATTTCTTACTTAGTTTAAACTATTTTTTAGGATCACCAGTAGTCAATAATAATTTTTATTGCTTAAAATCAATACATTTTGAATTGATGCTTAACATTTATTAAAAATGAATCGCATGATTTTTTTAAAAATTTATTTTAATTTAACCTTGAATTTCTTTCTTTTTTATAACATATTAGACAAAATAATTTGATCAGAAATCAAAAATTTACCTAACTAAATATAAATTAAAATTATTTTGTAAATCACTAATGATAATTTTTCATTCTTTAAGCCACACCACATCATTATACCAACTGAAACTGAACTATATATCTTCGTTAATTTTCCTGAACTAGAACTGATTTTTTAAAAAAAAAAATCATGATACAAATTATAAATCAATCAAAAGTCAGGTACTTAAGCAATTAAAAAAACAATCTAGTTTTTTTAAGTAAAATAATTAAACAATGATGGCTAGGGTTAATATCTCAAACTGAAAATTTTACCCCACTTTTTTCTGGAAAAATAAAAATAAATTACTTTACATTTCTTATAAAAGCTGATTAATAGCTCTCAATGCACAATTTATCTTAATAAGCGAAGAAAATTTCATGCATCGGTTGAGTGATTATGTTGGTGATAATTAGAAAGTTCTTTCATTAATATTATCTTCTACTGTTTTCTTGCTAAGTTAGAGCCCTATCAATAAGTTTGTGGGACATTGCGTGTGAGAACCAATTAGTGTTTCAATAAAAATAAGTATCTTTATTTTTTAGAAGTTAAGTGTTCTTTCGATGTTTACTTATAAACAGGATAAAAAAAATCAGAAATTATTACTTAATAGCGATAGGGAAACTTGGTAGACAATGAAAAAAAAATATTTATTTAATTTCGAAAGATTTATTTAAAAGTTAATAATGTTGCAAGGGAAAATAACGAATTTTTAAAATAAGTAAATTACTCAATTTATAAGAAATTTAAATAAAGAATCGATGTAATTGCTTTGCATATTAATTGAATTAAATTTAATGCGATTAGTTGATATCTTTTTTTGCTAAATAGACAAAAAAATACTTTTTTTCTAATTCTCTTGCACTACATTCTCATCCCTAGATAATGAATTGAACCCGTTAAATAGCTTTTGATATAATGATCGGATTTTTATGTATTAAGGCTTAATCTTAAAGCTTTGTATCAATTTAACGGTTAACTTAAAATTACTTTAAAAAATTTTTAAAAATTTTTTAACCTTTTAATTTAATTTTTTGTTGACAATAAGTAAATATAGTAATAAAATAATGTTAATTAGAAATAATATAGTTAAGAATATGATGCATAATAATAAATAATGATAAATAATTATCATTTTTTACATTAAATTATCTATGAATAAACGAATTTTATAATTGTGTCCAAAAGTTTTAGATTCGCTTTAGAAGTTCTCGAGATATAATGATGTACGCAAAATTTTAAATTAACACCCAGAAGTTCATACTTTTGACCGTCATCTTGACCAAGCTATTTGTAATTTTATATTATAACGGTCATTGAACTACCGACCAAATTTTCAGTTTACGACTGCCAACGTTCAACTCCTTATCATTGCAATTTTGAACCCAACCCAGAAGACAAGGGACTCCTGGTTTAAGCATCGAAAGAAATTTGCTTTCGTTGAGAACTTCTTGCTGGAACCCGCATTTGCGCTACATGGAGAGGAAAACCACGAAAACCTCCACGGTTAGCCTGAAGGCTAGGGCACTCTAAACCATGATCCGTCTACCACTGAGGATATTTTACGTTAGCACTGTGGTTGGTACAAGCCGGATGCGAAATTCTCACCGATCAGTCATCGATGGAATTCGAATTCTTGTCACCTCATTGGAAGGCGAAAGCTCCATCCCTGAGCCATCACTTCTCTTCACTTCTTCAAGCTATTGAGATTATTTTTCGAAATTGTAGCTGACCCCCATATTTTAAAAGTCAGGAATCCAAAACAATCGATAAAAAGATATGTTTATTCAGAAAAAGTAAATATTTGTGTTTTATTTCTTCACTTAGAATATGGCATGCTCTAATTAATTATAATATTTCAGATTTGGTACTCAAATTATTAAGATTTCGTCTTAGAACGTAAAAATCCGATTATTAAATCAAAAGTAATAGAACTTATTTAGGGTGTTGCACATTGCGTATCATAACATCTAATTTTAATTGTTAGATAATTTCATTTTGTTAAGTTGATTTTTATTTATTTATATTCTGGAAGCTTTGTAAGACTTTCCATCGATCCTAACAGCATCAACAACTTTTGGAAATGGAAGCCTTCTTTGGAATTGGAAGCCATGATGACCAAAATAAAACACCTTAGTAAACATAAAAAGAGGGAAAAACCACGAAACTGAAAACTTTCAGATTCCTGTAGTAAAACCAAGGCATTCAACTTCACCAAATAATAAAACGTTTATTAGTTACTTACATAAAATTATATATCGTGTTTGAAAAAAACTTTAGGTTTTTCTGTTCTAATTTATTATGATGTAATAATTATGATGTAATGATGTTAACGCACACAAAAGAGTTCCTATAGTTCAGTGGTAAAAGCAGCGAAATTACACGCAGAATATGTAGGTTTGAATACACTTCCTGCCTTTTAAATAATGATTTCCTACTTTTCTTTCCTA